TGCAGTCATGAATGGGTTGATGTTATTTATACAATTATTACAGTATTGCAGTAGTCTGCATAATAGTAATTCTTCTATTTTTTGTTTGAATAAAAATTCAAAATAGAAAGCAAGAGTAATATAAGAGGGGCCTGGAGACATGATTGATGAACAAAGAAAAATGTTATTTTAGAGCCAGGAATGTCTGCATTGTTCATTCTGGACCTTATTTTGAAATTGTCATATTTTTTAATTTTCGTGAAATTGGCCAAATTGCAAATTTCTGACCACATTATTGGGTAGTTGAAATCGGTAAATGGGCAGTTTCTTGTACTCAATCGATAGAAAAAATGGAGTTCTAAAGAAATAGCTATGAGTTTGGTCGACTGGAACAGTGAAATTAGCTGAAAATAGGGCTCAAAGTGGACGAAGTCGCCGATTTGTAAATATCGCTGAGGTCGCTAACTTCGCGAGAGCATAATTCCGTCAGTTTTCCATCAAATTTCGTTTTTTTGGCGTCATTACAATCGGGAAAAAGATTCTCTATCATTTCATAAGAATTTTTTTTTTTTTTTTTTTTTTTTTTTTTTTTATAAATTTTGCGACACCAGGAGACACCTCAGGATTGGGGGTTGCTACAGTCAAGGGGTTAAAAATCACTTACCCACAACTAAACTACTGAATACTTGTATCTCATAAATGTTTAACCTGTGACCCAATCAAACTTTGTTATTTTTACCTAACATTACCTAACAGAATACTCCATTCTATTGAATGCACAGCAACACAGTAAATGACCATATGACCTGCCTTTGAAATACTCATTTGTGCTTAATTGTTATTTGTTTACAGTAATGTTTACCATTGAATATATCATTGCTTAGTTAATCTTAAGTTAATTTTAAGCCTGCCCATAATGCTCTGCATACAAGGGCCTTTGGCATGTTACACTGTATTTCTTTGTACTTCTATGTATCATGTTCAAATTAATAAATAAAAATAACATTTTAGCCCAAGCCTACTCACTTTATGTGGATGACTGCATTATAGCTTACCCAGGTGCTGACTGTCACCTGGTAGCGGCCTCCCTACAAGATGCGATTGACTGAGTTTCCCATTGGGCCACTTCTCATGGATTTAAATTTTCTAGTATGAAAACCCATGTCATTACCTTCACCAGATGTCCTCTTGTCCCAGATATTCCATTGTATTTAGACAGTGCATGTATTCCAGAATGTGATATGGTCAGGTTTCCTGGCCTTCTCTTTGATCACCAGTTGACATGAAAATCTCGCATTTCCTCTTTGAGGGCAGCTTGCCATGGTCAGCTGAATCTCCTTAAAATTCTTGTGCATCGTTTATGGGGAGCAGACCACTGGACTCTCCTCCATTTGCATATCCTTAGTCTTGTCCAAGCTGGATTATGGCGACCAAGTCTATTCTGCTACTTTCCCTACAACTCTTTCTAGGTTAGATCCCATTTATCATCAAGGTCTGCATTTATGCCTTGGTGCCTTTCATTTATCCCCTGTTGAAAGCCTCTATGCTGAGGTGAATGTTCCTTCCTTAGCTGATCATCGTGATGCTCATTGCCTTCGTTACTTTGTCCGCTCTCATGACCTTCATGTTCCTTCTATGTATAGGTTGGTCGCGGACGTTAGTAGAAGCCCATTATTTGTTCGGCACCCCTGCCCACTCTGACCATTTTCTCTTCGTCTTCACTCTGGTCTTCTCTTCAGTTGCCTCCTTTGTATGTTCATTTAGCATCTGCCTCCTTTGTATGTTCATTTAGCATCTACCTTTTCCCTTCCTCCTTGGGAGGTTCCAACAGTTCATGTCTGTTTACCCCTACTGTCATGTGCCAAGGCTCTCCTGCCTATGACTGCTTCTCACTCTTTTTCTTGATCACTTCCAGTCGCATGCTCATGCCGTCATTGTTTATACAGATGGTTCTAAATCTTCTGACAGTGTTGGGTTTGTGGCGGTGTTCCCTGACAATGTTGTCCGAGGTCATTTGCTAGACTCTGCAAGTATTTTTACCCCCGAGTTGTATGCCATCCTCATAGTTCTTTTCCATATTACATATATATCTCCTTCAATGTTTGTGATAATTTCAGATTCCCTCAGCACTTTACAAGCCATTAAACAATTTGATTCCCCTCATTCATTGATCTTTTGCATTCAACTATGGTTGCGCCATGTGGCTAGCAAAACCAAAGACGTCATTTTCTGTTGGGTCCCAGGACACATTGATGTGCAGGGCAATGAGCAGGCGGATGCTGCTGCATGGTGAGCAGTACATGATCTTCCGGTTTCCTATAGAGGTATTCCATTCAGGGATTATTTTACAGTCATCTCTGCCCGTCTTCGTGGCCTTTGCAACAATGGTAGTCAGACATGCACCATAACAAATTGCACTATCTTAAACCGCTTTTAGGTTTGTTGCCATCTTCTTCCCATCGTTGCCATACTCGGGAGACTGTGTTCTCCCGTCTCCGCATCGGCCATACCCGCCTTACCCATAGGTATCTCGTGGAACAACACCCTATTCCTCTGTGAGGTTTGTCGGGTCTCTATTTCAGTTCTTCACCTTCTTGTGGATTGCCCGGTTTACCAGCAAGCTCGCAGGATTTACCTTCAATGACACCGCTGCCCTACTGCTCTTACCTTATCTTCCCTAATTACAGATGGCTCTGCCTTTGACTTACAATCACTTTCTGACTTTTTGTCAGCAGCTGCTTTACTGTACGAACTTTGGACACAGCCCTTATCATACCTTCCAGCCCTTTTCTTCCCCTCACCTCTGATCTCCTCTCCACCTAGCTGTTTATAGCCCAGGCTCTATTTTCTGCTCCACAGCGCTGCATGACTCTTGTCAGTTTAGTGCTTTCTTTGATGATAATAATAATGGTAACCCCTTCTGTATTCACTTAATAAAAAGTCACAGTAGAAAATTTTGAAACTGGGATACTGCTTAATATACAAAATATACACCCATATTACTGTGCCTACTACTTATATACTATATGTATATGTAGAGCATTAAACTCCAACATAAACCTTCCTCTGAAACTTTTCCTTGATAGCTGCAACACAGCACACTAACAGGCATAACACAAAACTCTCTTCAACATCTCACGTGATAAATGGTTTGGAAAACTGAAACATTGAAGAATGAGATGCTTATGCAACATATGGGAATCTTTATTGAGGAAACGTTTAGCCATGCAGTGGCTTCATCAGTCCAGTACATGTACAAAGAATAACTGTGTGAGGAGAGGAGTTGCAGGTAATCAGTCATCCCTCGGCCTGGAGTCGATGTGTTCAGTCTGTCAGTCTTGAAGAAAGTATAGCATATAGACAGAGAAGTGGCTTATATACTGTAGTCAGGTGAGCTAAAGCAGGAAGAGGCAGTCATTGGAACCATCCACTAGTGTAAATAGGTCTTCGTCCAAAGATTGGATAAATGTTGAAGAATTCCTTGTATCAAGATCCCACGGTGTTACAGCGTCTGACAGGTGTGATAAATGGTTTGGAAAACTGACAAGATGAAAGAGACACTTATTTCTGCTGCTTTGAACTCAGTTTCAAGCTATTTCCAGTCCTGAAAGTAATCAAATTCATCTCTATTTCAGTGCTATATCTTCAATTCTATCAAATGATTCCAAGAAGCCAAGAATAAAACCACAAAAATAATCTGAAAAAAAAAAAACTGCAAATTTGCTATTTTAAACCAAAAGCCTGGTCACGCTTATTTCCTCCATTCACTGCATGGGGCAGGACTTCTTTTATGTGGTGCATGCTCACCACACAGACCCATTCTCTCGTATCTAGGCCAAAATTTGCATCTCACAGCTTATCTGAGGGAGCTGAGCACTTACCCCAGAGTTAAAAGCCATGGAACTATGGCACTCACTCAAGGGGTTAATAAAGAGGTGTTTGGAAATGGTAATGTGATTACCGAGTGGTAGACAGCTCTGCGTCATCAGTTTGTTTTAACAGCTGACAGCTGTGGATCATTTGTCTGTCAAGATTAAGAGAGCCTCTACAGCATATGCCATGTTGAGCCAGAGTTAGCAACTGGTTTTTCCAGTGCTACATAAATCTCTGAATAGAAAAGTTTTCATGCCTAAGCCATCTTTTAAGACCTTCTTTGGCATGCTATTCAAATTTTACGGCATTCTATGCAAATTTTACGCCATGATTTTTCAACTGTATTATCACAAGCGTGTAGTTCACGTGTTTTATTCAAGAGTGTACCATATCACATTTCAGTAACTTGAAAGGTGGCAGCATTACTTTTTCTTTACCACACAGTATTATGACTGGAATGGAGCTGGTGCATCTTGTTCCTTATATTAGATATGTAGTATTAACCTCTTAAATAAACAGAATGGTGGATGGGGAGGCAAACTGCAGTCTGCAGATTGACAGTCTGATGCTCTACTGATCCAGCTACTGTCGGGCTGTTATTTTGTAGGCCAAGGTTTGCCTTCTCTTCCACCATTCTGTTTATTCATTGAAAGTTGTTTATTACATTTTAATTAGAGTCCATTAAACCTCTTGTTTATTACAACAAACACTACATTACACTTGAATTTTGGGAATGCAGCATGCAAGGAGACAGGTAACTTAAGTGTCCTCTTAAATAAAAAGTCTTCAGTTGCAAAATTTATATGCAAGTTTTGAGATATATGTAGAATTTATGTATATAAATCAGGCTAGAAGAGCAGGTGGTTCTTGAAGCATTTCTGTGGCAAGCACAGGTGAGTTTGTTATTCACTTTCTTGGCAGTATTGTCTGTGAATTAGTTTATAGCTTCCCATTATGCAACTATCTTTTAGTAGTTCTTTCTGCATATTCACTTGTAATGCTCTTCTGTATGGTACCCAGTCTTCACTTACTGGTATAGTAGTTCCTTATATCAGGGAGATTATAATTTTTTTTTTTTTTTTTAACTTTTGTCACTTTTTTTTTTTTCATACTGTGCCTGCATGTATGCACCAACACTAATACGAAAGAATTCAAGGATCTCAAAAGAGGTTAGCTGGATTGAGTATGCATCCATGTGGCTTGTAGTACTAGTTACTATTCATATTTTGTAATACTGTGTTGTATATTAGGGGTGGATTGCTTCTGTGAAATATGGAATGGTCTTATGTTTTTCATTCACTTTATTTTTAAATCAGAACTTTGTTAAACAAATGAATTTTTTAAATTTTGCATGTTGATAGAGTACTTTGTTGTATAGTTGATAAGTAGAGCAGTTGTCTTGTAAGTGGATAACATTTTGTCTGTTGGTAGTGTCATGTTCCATGTGTATCACCAAGAATGGCCTTTTAATAGGTATCCAGTAAGTGAAAGGAATTTGGCTTTTCATTTATGTAGTTTTACAAAATAAATTTTCATATACTTTTTTTTTTTTACCTTTTTTGTGGATATAAATTTGTGAATAATCATTTTCATTGATCTTTGCAAAAATACTTTATTTGATGCCTTGAAAGACAGTAGCTACCCAAGAAATTCATTAACACACATTGTGAATTTTTCAGAGGTCTGCTGTACAGAAATTCCTTGGATTGTTTACTGAAGACAGTTCATAATGAAGGTTTCTGGGCACTTTACAAGGGATTCATTCCATGCTGGTTACGCATGGGGCCTTGGTCACTTACGTTTTGGCTGACATATGAACAGATCAGAAATTTGAGTGGCACCTCTGCTTTCTAGGTAATGGATTATGTTGTAAGCGGGAATTTTCATAAATGGTGTCTGTAAACATTTAAAAATTTTGTGGGAGTGTGGTAAATTCTTGTCCTTTTTTCTATTGATGTGTGTAAATAAAAGATGTGCAGATGGACTAATACGTTATCTAGTGGTCTTTATCATCCATGATGTGTGAGAGTTATAACTTAAGTACACCACTACTTATATACCTCTTCAGTATTCACACACTGTTTAACAATTGGATACCAAACAATTACTGCACAAAGGTTATCTCATGTACTCTCAGGACTACTTACTGTTATGAAATGTTATGGTCTGATAAATATCCAGTCATAACAGAGAATAATGAAATTCATGAACACTCAAAGAATCTTTAAGCAGAGCATGCATGTTGCAGGGCTGTTCAGGAAACACTGCCACTCCTCTCAAAGTAATATTAAAGGCTTGTCCCCCAGGATTAGACAATATATGTACAGTAAGCATCAAGAGAACCTTGTGATGTTGGCATAACAGCTGGTGTTACATATGGTGTTGGCAGGGTAACGTGTTATCTAGGGTGCTGCTGGTGCCACATTTTGTGTTGGCATTGCAGCTGATGGTTCTTCGTGGTTTTGGCAGAGCAGCTGGTGGTGTTACATGTAGTATTAACAGAGGAGCTGGTGGTGTCACATGTGGTGTTGGTAAAGCAGCTGGTGGTTGTCATTGGAGCTGGTAGTACCACATGTAGTGTTGGCAGAATAACTAGAGGTATAATGGGTGGTGTGGGCAAGGTAGCTGAAGGTGTCACATGTGATGTTGGCAGGGTGGTGTCAGGGCTTGCTGGGGTTACAATGTGTGGCACATTTACATTTCACATTAAAATTATGTTGGTCACTGTCACATTAATCAGCACTTTCCAGCCAGCCACTTTGAGAATAGCTTAGCAAGGCAGTTTTACTCTTCCTTCTCTCTGCTGACCCAGGAGCTACCAGATTTTTTCTTTGACCTGAGGAAGTGCCTGACAACCCAAAAAATGTCAGAGAGAGCCAGTACTGTGTTGGGATATCTCTGGCCTCTCCAGTGTTCAGGCCTGGGAAGACATTTTTCCAGCTTTTCCTCTCATCTGTTGTAGTAGACTAATCATCCTCAATGCTCTGCCTGTTCATTCTTTTGGGTAGGAGGGGACTTTTTGTTTGTTCTGGATTATCCTTGTGCCTTACCAGGTTCTTACTCATAAGTTTAGTACCTGGCAGGCTTCATGTATGGGCTTGTCTGGGTCTCCTCTTGAGCACAATGGATTGTGAAGCATCCCATGATGCCTTCATGGGATGCTTCAGCATGGGACCACACACCTCAGGATTCTGATCCTGATCAGTAGTTTTTGCCTTGATCAGGGTGAGTAAGGAGAGCTTCTTAACACAAGCTGCCTATATCAACACCAGACTTTCCCTAACCCTGGGGCTTACTCCTTTCCACAATGCACCTGCCACTCCATCATCTTCCTCCACCTCTTCCTCATCATTTTCACCATCTTCCTCCACCTCTTCCTCATCATTTTCGTTGTCTTCCTCCACCTCTTTCTCATCACTTCCTCTTCAAGGGGGGCTCCTTGATGTGGCAAAGAGGCTCATGGTCTCGGGAATCAAATCCTTCGTCTCCTTCCTTAGACCGAATCTAAGTACCCCCCAATCCTCCCTTCCCTATCCCTTCCTCCCCATACCCTCCGTTTTTCCCTTCCCTCCCCTCTCCCAACCCTCCCCTTTTTTCCCGTCCCATTTGTAGCTTCTGGGGTCCTCCCCTCTGGCATTACGGTTTCTAGGTGGGGTGGCATGCTGGGGTTCGTTCCCCTCCATGAGATCCCTCAGGGGTGGTGTGGTTTGCCATGGACTCTGAATTGTCTGAGGATGCCCTGCTCCCTTCCCGGATTTCCGGGTCGTGGGGAGGGTGCCCTTTGGATGATGGGTGTATCTCTGGGAGCTGCCTGTTGGTTCTGGGGGGTGGCAGGCGAAGGAGGTATGCTTTGTGACAGGTTTCCGACTGTCCTTTCTTTTGTCCGCCGAGGTAGCTCGGTGGATGTGAGGCTGCTATCCTGGAGCGCTGGTTTACTAGCGTGAAGGGTAGGATATAGCACTGGTTCCACGCTGCATCTTCACTGCCACTGGGCTCGAGGCCCTCTCGGATATGGGGAGGAGCTTTCTGCCTCTCCATGCCTCCTAGCAACTGTCCCTCTGCTGTCCCATTTTTTTTCTTTCCTTCTTTCTTTTTTTTCTTAAAATAACAAGAAAGAAGATATTACAGAAGATACCCCTATTATTATGGAGTCTTTGCCCTGTGAAACCCTTCCTCCTCCCAGGCCCCATAATGATCCCGCATCCTGTTCTGACCTGGCTTCGTTATCGGACCATTCTCTCGACTTCATCTGCTTCAGGTGCTGCGGCGTTACCCATTTCTGTTCATGCTGCTGCTTCTAGCACGCCTTTCACAATGTGTCCGGCTTCCCCGAATACAGTGTGATGGTTCTTGGATTGCAAACCTCCCTTGGGTCAGACCGCCAGTGGTTCTACTCCTAAGCGTCCAAGACAACCTATGGACAACAGTTCGTCGATGACCACTCAAAAACGACCTACACGACATTTACTGCCTTTGCATACCGGACTAATGAGTATGCAATGGACAAAATTCTTTTCTTTACAAACGATGTCTCAAACTTATTATCTTTCTGATCACGGAATTGGTAAAACTCTTATGGCATGTTGGCTGAAATATATCTTTCCATGCTCTTCGAAGCTGTGCGCGTCGTGTCGTAACGGTGCAGAATTCAGAGCAAGCTCATGCTCTTATCTCGCATCATTTCCATAGATAACAAACCAGCCACCGTTCGTAAGCAGGCTACTCTTAATTCTTGCAGTGGTACTGTGGTCTTACCGCATACCATTGTACAGAGTGATTTTTTTTTTTGTCTTGCGGCAAGGATATTTTAAAACAATTAGCCCTTCAGAACCTCCCTGTTCTTAAGGTAGATACGTACATCCTGCCTGCTCATGGGCTGAGGCATTTTCCTAGTAACATCGTTCGTTTAACCTTCGACTGCCGTGAACTTCCGTCCTCTGTCTGTATTACAGGATATCGCCTAGAGGTCCGTCAAGTAGTTCCCACTCCCCAACAGTGTCATACTTGCTGGTGTTTTGGACACCCCGCCAAACACTGCAGATCTGCGGTGGAATGCCCGATCTGCAGTGCAGCAGATCATTCCAGTACGTCTTGTAGTCTTCCCCCCTCTTGTCTCAATTGCAGGGAACCTCATCCTTCCTTTTCATGCTGCTGCCACGAGAGATCCATTATCTTAAGGAGAGTGAGGGCCTCACTTACACTATGGCTATCTCTCAGCTCCACCTTCAAAGTAAACTTCCTTGTGTCTCGTATGCTTGGGTAGCCCAAAGACCTCCAACCTCAACGGTCCTTCTGCCTCCCAATCCCTCTGCGTCTGTGTCTTCTGGGGTTGCCCCAGTTTCTAATTCTTTTGCAGTTTTATCCTCTGACACTCCTACCTCCGCACCACTTCTTACTTCTACTTCATCTCGCTCGCTTGCTTCCCAGTCTACGAGACCTCGCAGACCTACATTTTCTGCACATCCATCACCTGCACAGAATATGTCTCCTACCTCGAAGCCTCGTTCTCACCCCGTTTCCAGCTCTCACAGGGAGGTAGAGGTTCACCCTCTCCTCGTGTAGTCCCCTCTTTCCCTATTCCCCCCCGTCTTCCTCCATAGTTAAACTCCAACCTCCCTCCTCTTCTGTTACACTGCAGGCCTCTTCTACCCCAGCCAACACATCTCTCCAGGTTCATACTCTTTACCCCCCCTCAGACCTCTTTAGTTGCCTCTGTAGTTACTCTGACCTTTCCTTGCAACGCCTCTCCTGTCCATGACATCGTGGCATCGTCGGCTTCCTTAACAACAGGGACGTTAGACGCTATCTCCAGCTATACATATTGCTTAGACGACACCCCTAATGGACACCAATGCGACTCCTCCTACCCCTTCTATTTCACGGCCCTCGCAACAATCTATTCCTCTGCAACAGTCACATTCTTCCTTGCTTACATGCTTACTGTTACCCCCACACATTGACTTTACAGATCCTAAAAGCCCATAGGTTTTATCGTTTCTTATTGTTGCCAATTTTATTTCTGTACGTAATGTCTTTTTACAATGTAATATTCGTGACCTTAGGGGCAATCAAAGAGAACTCCAAGTGTTGCTCTCCCAGTTGTCCCCAGTATGTGTTAGGCTGCAAGAGCCCAAAATTTGTTCTGCTGTCATTCGCCCAGTTTCGGGCTACGTGCTATTACGTTTTTCAGATCCTTTATCTGATGAATCATTTAACCCGTAAACGGTCCAAGCAGATCTACGTTCATATGTGTAGTGCTACAAAAGTAGATCTACGTTTTTTACATATTTTCAAATACAGTGGTCCCTTGCTTTTCGTAGTTCTCGGGAATCATAGATTTCAGAAATCATAGAGATATTTTCGTATAAACATGGGCTTGCTTTTCATAGGTTGACTTGCGAGTAGTAGTTCGTCCGGGATGCGTACGCACGGTGTGAGCCGGGGCGACAGCCAGTCTGGCATTGTTTACCAGTGAGCGAAGGTCCCCTCACGTGCTCCTACGAAATATTTCATAATATTCCGCTCGTTTTAGTGCTTGCAAGTACTAAGCTACCATGGCTCCAAAGAAAGCTCCTAGTGCCAAGCCTGTGGTAAAGAAGGTGAGAAATACGATTGAATTTAAGAAAAACATCATTGAACAATATGAAAGTGGCACAAGTGCGGCCGAACTGGCCAGGATGTATAAGAAACCCTACACGACCATATGTTCCATAGTGGCCAAGAAAAAGGAAATCAAGGATGCTGTTGTTGCAAAGGGGGTAACTATGCTGACAAAAATGAGATCACCAGTACTCAAAGAGGTTGAGAAGTTATTATTGGTGTGGATAAATGAGATACAATTAGCAGGAGATACT